TGTGTGTGTGTGTGTGTGTGTGTGTGTGTGTGTGTGTGTGTGTGTGAGAGAGAGAGAATTAGGGGCACACTTACACACCACCTTTGGACTCATGAGTTTGAATCGGAAGAACTTGAGGTGACATAAATCTTTAACCCAGCATAAATGCCTATTGTGCCTTAAAGCCTTTTTACTGTAAAGATTTCAGGTAGTTTAAATATTTATGCAGCTGTAAGGAAGCCGACATTCTTATCCTGACACAAATGTTTAAGCTAGCAGAAAAGGTTCTTAACCATCTTAATCATATGAGATTATTCTGAGAGTTGATGCTGCCTTAATGATTTTCCTTTTTAAAAAAATCTGGCACATTAAATGCAAATAAACCCTGTTAATGCAAAGTTAATTGCACAGTGAAGTCTCCAAAAATCAGGAAATGCCTAAGTTAAGGTTCCAGATTTAATGTTGATGTACCCGTATTGCATGTGGTAATTCAGCTCCTGTTTGTCTGGATAAACATGTGTAGCTTAATATATATAATTTATATCGCTGTTCATCATAAAAGACTTAGCATAAAATCACACCAAATGTGCAATGCAGAAGTGTTAATGCTGCTACTAGAAACTTAACTTTTTCAATTTCTTTTTTTGTTTTTTTAACCTTTTTTTTAAGGTAAAATTACAATAAAATTTTAACATTCTACATTGTACATTACTTAAATGATGGTGCTACTTATTTGACAATGTTTCCATCTAATAACACATATTACTACTAAACCCTATTTGTTTAGTAGTAATATGTGTTATTAGATGGAAACATTGTCAAATAAGTATATCACAAGAGACTTTTTTATTTAGCTTCCACTAACCACTCAATACTTTAAATTAAAATTTAAGCATGTCTTGTACTTGAAAACTTCAAGCCTGATATTAGGGAAAAGAAATTGTAATTGGTGGAAGCTATTGAGTAATTGTTGGGGGGAAGAGAACTTTTTTCTTTGGTCTTGTTTTTCTTAATTTAAAGTGACACTAACTTGATATTAAGTCAGTTTCCAGATGTGAGTAAAAAATAGTTTCAGGTAACAGACTGCCCCTGGCTCCCTATTCTAATTATTGTGGTTTTACAATCACAAGGAAAATGACCCATAACAAAAAAGTGAAACTGACTCTATAGCGGAAACAGTGAAACTGATACTACACAGAATCGCCTGAAAAACCAGAGAAATAGCTAAAAATCTATCTTTAGATGATTACAGTCTCCTAGGTCAGTGGTTCTCAATTAGGGGTCTGGGCCCCCTGGGGGGCAGCGAGCAGGTTTCTGGGGGGTCTCTAAGCAGGGCCAGCATTAGATTCACTGGGGCCCAAGGCAGAAAGCCAAAGGCCATCCACATAGGGCTGAAGCCCAGGTCCCTGAGACCTGCCAACTGGGGCTGAAGCTGAAGCCTGAGCAATGTAGCTTCACTGGGGCTCCTGTGCTGTGGGCCCCAGGCAATTGCCCTGCTTGCTACCCCCTAACGCCAGCCCTTGCTCTAATATGCAGAAAACCATTTGTTGTGGCCCAGGTGGGATGTGGAGTTTTTATAGCATGTTGGGAGGGCCTCAGAAAGAAAAAGGTTGAGAATCCCTGTCCTAAGTAAAACAATCTCAGACCGTAACATTTTAAAGCTGATTAATACTGTTGCTATGTTGTGCAGGGTCTTCAAGGCACAGAAAAGTCTTTATGTTTGATGGGAAAGGGAGACCCAGTGAAGGGAAAAAATTTGATGTGATCATATATTTAAAGACTATCTTAATGATTGTGCACAAGGAGGCAGAGTTAAGGCCACATGGACAACTTTAATTCTGGCATTTTGTAATTTCTGAGCACTTGACTTTGTAACTTTGTTTTTTATTTCAACAGTCCATGCTAATGTATAGATAGATGGAAATTAGTAAACTACCATTATATCAATTTTAAGTAAGGGGGCTTACTTTCTAAAATGACTAGAATAGCGTGAAAAGGGAGAGATTTTTGATTATTAGTAACTTGTTTAGTGTCGACGGTAGGCTAGGCATTTTGATAAGTTGGCTTGATTAAATTTTTTTTTAGAAAGAAATGCAGTTTAAGTGGATAAAGACATTTTAATTCTGAGGCCAACACAGTAACATCCAAACAGAGACAGTCTATTATGTTAAAATAACCATAAGGCCTGTAGAGCCAGTCAATATATTGGCCAAGCAGCCTATCAAATGTATTCCTTAACTACTTACTGTGGTAGGGTTCAGAGACTTTTCTACATAGAGCCGTTTGACCATTTTCAATGAAAAGAAAGAGCTGAGTTTGGAAACATCAGACGTTACCGTTTGGAACCCAAACAAAACATCTTTGATGTCTTCTAAATGGAGTGCCTGTTAATGAACACGTTAAGATATTATGCGTCTTTCTTGGCTTAAAATCCCTAGCTGTTCAGTAATAAACAGTACTAGTATTTGGCCACTGTCATTGCTCCTTATATTTACAATGGTAACAAAGCTTCTTTCTCCCCTTATAAGCCCTGTCTGCAAATCTCACATAAAGCTAAAGTCCTGAGCCTGCAATGTTATTTGTGGAAATAGTCCCACTGAAATCAATAGGACTACTCATGCAAGTGATGCTTATCAAGTTTGTCTTTTTCAGCATTGGGCTGTCACTGTGTCCACAAATTCCAATCCCTCCAAAAAAAACTTTGAGTAACTGCTTGTAGTTTGAGAAAACATCATTCTTAGGATCAGAACAGCTGCAACTTTTTAAAAATCTGAAGCAAATTACAGAAGCTTTATTGAATTATAACTTTAAGATAAGGAAATATCAGTAGTTCAAACTTCTTATACATTTACACCTCCCAAAGAATTAGTGAACAGGGAAGAGCAGTTTTTAAACAACACAGTGGTATATAAACTATTTGGGTGTGAAGGGGGAGCGGAAGCAGAATTGCTTAAAGAATAATCAGATGCCAGCAGCTACAGTGACATGAAAAATACAGCTGATGATTGGGTACCTAACTCAGAATGCAAAGCCCATGCATTCAAAAATCATGAGTCAGGTTCCAAAAGGTCATGAGATTTAAAAAAAAAAGTGTTGGATTCTTTTTAATTGTCTTCTGGTTTCTGAGCCTTTCAGGTATACTCTGGTCACCTTTTTATGCTTTTCTCAGCAACAAAGATGCTAGAAACTTTCTTTTTAATGTAAGCAGTGGGGCTTTTTACTAATCGCCTTTCTTTAAAAGCCAGGGCTTTAAGAAAATCGCCAAATATTACGAAAGTCACAACGAAATCCTGAGAATTGACTATACTGCTACCCCTTTAAATGTAAGTGCTGATTTTCACTTTTGGACAGTGGGAGGAAAATTTCTAGCAGTTTCAATTTGAAGATCGCCTTCTAAATTTAAATTAATCAATACCATTAAGTTTGTCACACTGCTTTAAATAAAAAGCCCCGCCCAACTCTCATCGACTCCCCACTGGTCATTACAGTGTCTATTTCAAGTTCCTGAAATGAGGCACAGGGAATAGCAGAGTGTAATTGCCCCTTCCCCACATCATTCCTTCCCCTGTAGATGTAATCTATTCACTGCCAGTGTGCATACACTGTCTCCTGCCACCTTATTTATTTCCCTGCAAGTGTAACCCTTTAAGTGCTGCTCCTCACCAGGTATAAGAGAGCACACAAAATGGTTGATGAAATGTTCAAGGATGATTCCAGAAATCTGACTGGCTAATATATAGGGTATTATCTCTATAGAGATGTTGTTTAAATACCAAGGAGACACGTATCCCCTACAGAAAAAAGAAAAGCTCCAAGACTGTTATCTTCTTTCCAGTTTGTCTTTGTAACCATAGCAAAATTGTCTTGGCCAAGCCTCACCCATTATCTCCTCATGAAGAGCCCCACATCTTGATTGCTATTGTTTAAGCATGGGAAATACATCTGTATGGCAATTACAGCATATATGAAGCAGTTAGTAAAGCTGCAGCCCTGTTAGGTATCCAGCAGGGGGAGACTCTTCAGCTGTTTGCACATCAGCAATACTTCCAGAGCTGTATCAGGGCTTATCTTAGGGGACACTGGCACCTGGCAAGGAAGTGTCTACGGCACACTAGTTTGCCACATAGTAGCACCCAGGGTGGACACTGCTACAGGGCACTACCAGTACATCAAAGTACACTACATACCTTTCAGTGCACTGTAGCTGTGTCCACATAGGCCATCACTGCTTGTTCTACTGCATTAAGCCTCTTGACTACTTTCAGGGGAAAGGGTGAATTTTATTGCCAATGGAATTAAATACTTTTACAGTAGAACCTCAGAGTTATGAACACCAGAGTATAAACTGACCGGTCAACCACACACTTCATTTGGAACCGGAAGTGTGCAATCAGAGCAAAGCAGCAGGGACAAAAAAAGGGGGGGGGGGTAAGGGGGTGGGAAGCAAATACTGTACCGTTCTGTGTTAAATGTAAACTACTAAAATAATAAAGGGAAAGTTTAAAAAAAATATTTGACAAGGCAAGGAAACTGTTCTGTGCTTGTTTCCTTTATATTAAGACAATTAAAAGCATATTTTTTTCTTCTGCATAGTAAAGTTTCAAAGCTGTATTAAGTCAATGTTCAGTTGTAAACTTTTGAAAGAACGACCATAATGTTTTGTTCATTTACGAACATTTCAGGGGTATGAACAACCTCTGTTCCCAAGGTGTTCGTAACTCTGAGATTCTACTGTACTACTAATGGATTTTGGCAAAATTTGTTTTCTGCATGTTTCCCTAGACATCTCTGCAACGCACCCTGCTGTTAAAACACCAAGCCTATCCTGAGTAGGCATTGCCAATCATGCTGAATTGTGCTGTAATGAAAAGCCATTCTCCAGAAAGTTCAGTGGTCTCAACTTTGCAGTAAACCACAGTGGAACCCTGGTACTCCTGGGGAATTCTGCACCACTGCACATACACAGAATTCATGTGCTGTGCAGTAATTTTTTTTTTTTACTAGAAAATACATTCTGCTGGAAAGGTGATACAGTTACTCCTTTTGCCCACCAGGGGCTGCCAGAATATAGCAACTGCTCCCAGGTGTGAGCAGCCCCAGCTATGGATAAAGAAGAGAAAGACTCTGCCTTGCTCACAGCATCCTGTCCACGGGGGTAGGTCAGGAGGCACGGTATATATGGAGACAGACAGCATGGAACTGCTGGGGGGGTCACAGAATTGGGTTCAAAAGGGCTAGTGGGGGGGACAGACTGGGGCAGGTGCTGAATGGGAGTGGGGGTTCAGGGACGGGGAGGGGATAGTGGATGGCTGAGAGGGGGTGAACGGCCACATGGGGATGGAGGGAGGGGTGGCTGACTGGGAACACAAGGACAAATGGTGATGGGGGAGACAGTCAAGGGATACATAGGGACGGGGGCTGGGGCTGGCTGACTGAAGTACAGGACCACATGGAAGGAGGGGATGCAGCGCCACATGGGGACAGAAGGAGAGGGTGGCTGAGTGGGAGTTCAGGGACACATGGGGACAGTGGAGAGGGGGATAAAGGGATACATGTAAATGGGGGGGAAGACCGGTGGCTGAGTGAGGATGCAAGGACACATGGTGATGGATCAGGGATTGGCAACCTTTGGCACGTGGCCCATCAGGGAAATCTGCTGGCGGGCTGAGATGGTGGGCCAAGGGATGTGCTGTGGCGGCCAGCACAATCGTTGGCCCACACCGCTTCCTGCAGCCCCCATTGGCCTGGAATGGCGAACCGTGACCAATGGGAGCTGCAATCGGCCCAACCTGGAGATGCTGCAGGTAAACAAACCATCCCAGCGGATTTCCCTGATGGGCCACTTGCCAAAGGTTGCCGATCCCTGCGATGGATGGTGCAGGAACACATGGAGACAGGGGCAGAGGTGACTGATTGAATGAGAGAGGCTGGGGGGTGTCACAGAGTCCTCAGGCAATGCTCTGGAACTACTTTGTATGAGGCCAGTCAGGACTCTGGTTTAGCATCTTCCCCTCTCTGAGCATACTGTTGCCAGGGCATGAGGCTTACACAGCTTCAACCTTCCTGGATCTGACCTCAGAGCATTCAGCAACCCCTTCCACACCGTGCGCTTCCCACAGCGAGTCCACCCAGGCAGGTCTCCTGGGGAAGCCAGAGGGCCCTGCACCCCAACTCCGCACTCAGACATGACTCTCAGCCAACCAGTAAAACAGAAGATTTATTAGTTGACAGGAACACAGCGTAGAACAGAACTTGTTAGCAAAGAAATCGGTGACTTTCAGCCAAGTCCATCTTGGGGAATTCTGGGCCAGAGGCCCTGGACTCCCCCTCTTTCAGTCCCCCCAAGCAGACTACCCAGCTTCCAGCAACCCAACCTCCAACACCCCCGTTGCTCCTCCTTGTCTTTGTCTCGTACCCCGGGCAAAGAGACACTTGGTCGTCACCTGGTTGTATCCCCATCCTGGGTCTCAGGTTACAAAGGGCACCAGTCATAGCATATGTGCAGGCAGCTGGAGCAGCCTCACCTTCCCCAGAGGTCTCAGCCAAAGTCTCACATCCCTATTCCCACCACCAAGGTATTGGTGCAGCACGCAGGGAAACTGAGGCACACACTGTATTCATGCAAAACAGCTAGACTCACCTACAACATAACAAGGGGAAAATCCCCACTTTGTCCCAAGGGGTCAGCCAGAGTCTGCATGGTGAAGGCTCCCTAACAATCCCTCCCCCCCCACCAAAAAATTGTTCCATACTTCTTCCACCCACACCCAACAACTCTCCAAGTTCACACCCAGCCTCCTTCCCAGCAATTAAATTTTTCTCTCCCTAAGCTCCTCCATTAACCCTGATTTCCCCCAAGCCTTTGCACTCCTTCTGAGGGGTTGGGTGAAAATATGGTTTTGTATTTTAGTTTAAATGAATTATTACTCAGAGTTCTGTATTACTATGTCTAGTAAGGAATCTATTTGTCAAAAAAACATTTCCTGAACCTTTTTTTGTTGTCTGCATAGACATAGTTGCTGACAGGTATTTTTAAAGTACAAAATAATTGAAACTGGCATAATAACATTGTCAAAATAACACAAATAACATATGCAGAATTTTAAAATATTGTACACAGAATTTTTATTTTTTGGGTACAAAATTTTAGGCACAGAATTCCCCCAGGAGTAAACCCTGGTCGGAAAGAGATGCAAGCCTTGGTGCAATAGACCATGGTATCACCTAAACCAGGTGCCGAAGGCGGCACGCGAGCTGATTTTCAGTGGCACTCACACTGCCTGGGTCCTGGCCACCGGTCCGGGGGGGTCTGCATTTTAATTTAATTTTAAATGAAGCTTCTTAAACATTTTAAAAACCTTATTTACTTTACATACAACAATAGTTTAGTTATATATTATAGACTTAGAGAAAGAGACATTCTAAAAATGTTAAAATGTATTACTGGCACACGAAACCTTAAATTAGAGTGAATAAATGAAGACTCAGCACACAACTTCTGAAAGGTTGCCGACCCCTGACCTAAACCATACCCTTTCCCACACATACACATGTTGGAAGAGCTTTTACTGTATACTATTACCTAGCAGGAGAGTTCAACTTTAAAAAGAATAAGTAAATATATAGTCTATAATGGCCAGTTGCATACTTTTGTACCTAAAAGTGAAGGTAGTGGCTCACCTTTATCATTTGGGTTGCGGTGTCACCTTTGGTAGCTTTATATGCCAGAGCCAGAGAAGTTGAAGTACACAGTGGAGCAAAAACAATATTGGCTGTTTTGTCCTTCTCACACAATTTTTTGAACATATCAACTGCAAAGGCAGTGTTTGCTAGACGCAGAGCATCGATAGCCATTTTCCTGAAACAGAAAAAAATAAGACCAAGGTAACTAAAAAATCTACCACTTGCTCATGCTGTAAAGATTTCTGGGGTGCAACACTGATTTGTTCATCATAACACCAGCAGGAAGCGGGGGAAGTTTGGTCAGATCAATATAAAACAGTGCATGTTGAGGCACAAAGGGCCAAATCTGTATTTAATCTATTTTTGATGTATACAGTTAAACTACACAGATTTAAAAGGTACCTCCTCTGTGCCTGAGGTACCCCTGACACTGAAACACCCCTTTGTTTGTTTCATTGACCTTTGTGTCTCTTGGTTCACAATGAACTGTTCCATCAAAGCCTACGATGAATTTTTGTGCATGTCGATCTTCTAGAGCAGAAGTTCCCATTCCCAGATGGTGACTGGTGGCCCCCTCACTAGTGCTCAGCAAAGAGCAGGCTGGTCCTGTAGGCTGGGATTTTCAAAGAAGCCTAAATGAGTTAAGTTCATTTTGTATCCTTTTGAGACTAAATCCCTTTGAAATTCAATGGGAGTTGGGTACCAAACTCCCTTAGGTTCCTATGGAAATCCCAGCTATTGTGCTGACGTATCATTTCCAACTGTTTACATTGCAATTGCTTTCCTACGATTTTTATATATAAGCAATTACTGCCATCACCACAGGGATGTTTAGGTGATCTGTGAAATCAGGAAGAGATTGTCCATGAGACAATCTTTGTATTAAAATGTGGTCCTTGCTATGAAAGTGTTTGGGAACATTTTGATCTTGTAGACTGTCAAGTTATTGGGAACAGATTTGGGCCAAATTCAGCCCTCGTGTAAGGAGGTGTTCCTCAGCTGTACTGTAGTCAATGAGTCTAATTTGAATAGTAGGATTTAAGCATTCCGCTGGATTTATAGAAGAATATGGTAGGGTTACCATACGTCCTCTTTTTCCTGGACATGTCCGGCTTTTCGGCAGTCAAACCCCCGTCCAGGGGGAATTGCCAAAAAGCCGAACATGTCCGGGAAAATGGCGGCTCTGCTCCTCCCCGACTCTTCGGCTCTGTTTAAGAGCCGGGCTGCCCGAGTGCTACCGGCTTCGGGCAGCCCCATGCCTCCAGACCCTGCGCCCCCAGCTGGGCACTTCCCCGCCCGGGCTCCAGCTGCGCTGGGGAAGCGCCGGCCGGGGGCGCAGGGTCTGGGGGCTGCCCGGCAAACCCTGAAGCCGGTAGCGCTGGGGCAGCCCTTTCCCCCTGGCTGGGAGTGGGAGGGAGGAGGGGGCAGAGTTAGGGCGGGGCTAGGGTGGGGAAATGGGCGGGGCCAGGGCCCGTGGAGGGTCCTCTTTTTTTATTTATGAGATATGGCCCATTGGTTGAGTTAATTTGGGCCAGATCTGTCCGCAATACTATGATGTCTAGAAGATAGAAAAGTGGAAAAACTCACCTTAACTGCTCCACTGTTTTTCTATGAAGTAACACAGAAGGAGACAGAAAAACAGAAAGTCTGAAACATTGACATCAATGGGAATCTTGCCATTGACTTCTGTATGACTAAAATTGTACCCTGAGACCTTAACAAAAGTCACTTAGCTATGTGCTTGAGATGAACTAGGAAATACTTGTATTGTTTTGTATGAATACAGTGCATGTCTCTCTGTGGGTTGTTTGTTAGGGGTTACTTGCTATAGAACTAGATCAAAAGAGAATGTTAAAGGAATCAATCAGGAAAGGCAATACAAGGCCTAGATAAGAAGCATCCCAACAAACACTCAAACACAATAGCCAGGTTTATAACTACTCCTCATTCCCAACCCTGAGTGACACATCACAGTGTTTTGTCAAGGCTGAGGAGAGAGAGATCAAAGGGAATACTACTAAGCCAAGACATCAAGCCCTGAAGCCCCCTTACCAGGTGTAGAGCCCAGGCTCCAGCCCAAGGAGGAATTTCTACACTGCTATTTTTAACTCTGTAGCATAAGCCCAAGTCAGCTGACCTGGGCTCTGAAACTCTGCTGCATTCTCAAACATTTACTAAGCTATTTTACATCTCTGTTGTCATAACCAGAAAAGATCCCATTAAGGTTGCCAACTTTCTCATTGCACAAAACCGAACACTCCTGCCCCGCCCTTCTCTGAGGCCCCGCCCCCCCTTCACTCCATTCCCCCCTCCTTCCATTGCTCGCTCTCCCCCATCCTCATTCATTTTCACTGGGTTGGGGAAAGGGGTTGGGGTGCAGGAGGTTGTGAGAGCTCCAGCTGGGAGTACAGGCTCTGGGGTGGGGCTGGAGGTGCAGGAGGGGTCTCCGGGCTGGGGTTGAGGGGTTCAGAGTGCGGGAGGGGGCTCAGAGCTGGGGCAGTGGGTTGGAGTGCGGGAGGATCTGCGGGCTCCAGCTGGGGGCGTGGGCTCTGGAGTGGGGCCGAGGATGAGGGGTTTGGGGTACAGGCGAGAACTCATAGCTCAGGCAGGGGGTTGAGGTGCAGGAGGGGGTGCAGGGTGCAGGCTTTGAGAGGGAGTTCAGGTGCAGGAGGGGGCTCAGGGCTGGGGCAGGGGTTAGGGTGCAGGCTCTGGGAAGGAGATGGGGTGCAGGAGGGGATTCTGACCTGGGGCAGGAGGTTGGGGTGCGGGCTCTGGCCAGGCAGCGCTTACCTCAGGAGGCTCCGGGTCAGTGGCACAGTGGGGCTGAGGCAGGCTCCCTGCCTGGCTCCACACAGCTCCTGGAAGCGGACGACATGTCCCTGCAGCCCCTAGATGGAGGGGCCAGGAAGCTCTGCGCACTGCCCGTGTCCACAGGCACCATCCCCGTAGCTCCCATTGGTGCAGTCTCGGTCAATAGGAGCTGCAGAGTCAGCGCTTGGGGCGGGGTCAGCGCATGGAGCTCCCATGGCCACCCCTGCGGCTAGGGGCCTCAGAGACATGCTGGCTGCTTCCAGGAGCCGTGCAGAGCCAGGGCAGACAGAGAGCCTGCCTTAGCCCCGCTGCGTCACCAACCGGAGTTTTAACGGCCCGGTCAGCTGTGCTGATCAGAGCCACCAGGGTCCCTTTTCAACTGAGTATTCTGGTCAAAAACCAGATGCCTGGCAACTCTAATCCCAAGTAGCAGCAGAGTATGTTGGAACTGCAATGAGAACCACTAGTCATGTGGACAATGGACTCTGTAATCAGGTACCTGTTCAATATTGCATGTAGCAAATTATTTTTTTTGCACATTGTGAAAGAATTTGTACACAGTTACCTCCATATACATAGCAAGTGCAAAGACTTCTGAACTGTCTAAATTCTAACATTTGTGTGCACAAACTGTGTGGGTGTGGTATGCATGCACATTGCTGTGTATATGCAGAGAGATGCTGCATAGGGGACCCTTTGAAAATGTGGCCCTTGCTGTTTAGTAGAAACTTCTAAAATAAACAATAGTATTTGTAAATTTTATGGGAATACATATGTGTGCATATTAGTGTCTCCTGTATACTAGAATTAACTTGTCATCTTAATAGTCTAGGTTTTTTATTAGAGAGGGCCTTTTATAAGAAAAATAGCTTTGATTTCTTTTTAATTAACTTCTGTATGTAATTCTAGATTCACTTTTGTAAAGCGTTTGGAGATATCTTTAGTCTAAAAGACGCTATGTAAAAAGATTATTGAAATGCATTGCACAATTTCATTATATGAAGCAACCAAATGGCATCATACTAGGTCCCCGTTTAAAAAACACACCTAATTTATACTGCATTCTTGCAAGGTTTTCTCAGCGTCAGTGAATATTGGCAATGGATTAATTTCCTTGCAAGACGCACCTGTTTCCCAGCAACCTTTCAAAGTATACCAAATACTTTGGTAAACATATGTCATGAGTGTTCTATCATATTTTTACCACATCTGTATGCCACACTGTGGTGTGCATAGCATGGCATTGGAAACATGCCTTAAATGCTTTGAGGCATAAGGAAGAGAGCCACATGTCTGCTACCACCCAAGAATTGCAACCAAATCTATGCTACACACTCATACCCACAGACAGGCATGGCTTATTCCTAGTAGAATATAGCTCATTCATTTTACATTTTGTATTGAGCTCTTACATAAATGTCTTTTTAAGTTGGACTGCATAAGTCCAAAGGTTATGCAGTGTATCCTTCCATTGTGAGAAAAGCATTCATAGAAAATAGCAGAGAAAAGATTTATAAGCACTTATTGTTTTGACTTATTAGCTTTTAAATTTCTCAATCTTTTTTTCCTTTCCCTGAACTATTTAAATTTCTTCTCCATACCCTAAAAGCCAGGCTGCCTTTTCAGTAGTAGTTTAGGGCTCAACCGCCACTTTAAACAAAACAGGGAATATAGAACAGTTACAAGAGACAGGGAGGAAAGAACAGGTTAAAACTGTCCTTTTATTTCTCCTAGAGTCTTTCTCTCTTATGCACTTGCTAGTTACACACATTCACTTTTGTGTGTGTAAAATATCACATACCCGCATTCCTTCCCAGGCTGCCTGCCTTATTACATACACGCCTCCCCCACCACCAGCACACACATTTTAACTTGTTTCCCACGTTTCTGGTATAATGAAGGTAGGGATTATTTTGTTTCATTTTCAGTAACATGTCCGAGCCATGCGCTACTGGGAGTTGGTGTACACGTGTGACATCATCAAAAAGGACAATGGACAATTGGCCTCCTTGGCAAGACTTACCAAAATGTAGAATGAAACGTGCAACTCGTCTGAAAGATTTTCTTCTTAAATGCGAAACTATTCACCATCAGAATAGAATACTATACCTGAATCTGGTCCTTCCAGATTGTAACTAAAAGATTCTACAAAGCCATAATAGAATTATTATTCTCATACTTAATGCAAATCATTCGACTGTGGACATGCATGTGAGTTAAGTGTCTGACTTGGTTTCCAGAGAGTAAGAGTACGAATATTTTTAAAAATTGTGTGAAACTCTTCTTCCTTATTCCAGTAAAAGCTGCAACACATGACTTTGAAATCCTTCCTTTCCATCTCTATTGCTAACTCCACCAGTGTTG